ACGGGCCGGCCGAATTCGGTCGATGAGCCGAATCGCAAAAAAGTTGCCACACGGGTGGGAGGGGCGACGCGCTCTGACGCCTCTGCGCGACGTACGCGCGCCTCGTGTCCGTGTGCCTCGTCGCGCACTTACTCCGCGACGTGCGCGCCGCGTTGACGGCGTACTCACGGTCGACTCGAGGGCGGACGGACGCCTCGACGAGCCCGCTCTGCGACGCCGCGCCCGTCGCCGGCGCCGAGCGGCCTCCCCGGGCGGGCGGCGGCGGGCGATGCGGAGATCGGGCGGCCCGGCGGCCCGCGGCGGCGCGGCGGCGCGGCCGGGGGCGGCGACCGGGCGCGGAACGGCCCCGCGGCCCGCGCCGCCGCGGTCGGTCGCCCGGCCGAGCCCGACCGGCGCCGATCCGGCCGAACCTCGGACGCGCGGCCCCCTCGCGACGCCCGCGCCGCGCCCGGGCGCGGGCCTCGCCGGAACGCGCCCGGCGGCGCCGACGTTGAACGTATCTTTCCCTCAGCGGGCCCCCGCGTCGTCCTGGCGGAGGCGGCGCGCGCGGCCGCGCGCGGACGAGACGACGCGCCCCTTCGTCTGGGGCCGCCGCTTCGGCAGGCGCCCGAGCGTCGGCGCCGTCGGCGCGCGGCTCGCGACGCCCCAGTCGCTCCGCGAGATGAGGCTCAGGTTCTCGTCCCGCTCGTCGCCGCCGCGCTCGCCGCCGCCGCCGTCGCCGCCGTCCGCGGCGCGCGCGCCCGCGAACATGTCCACGAAGCCCGGGACGAGGTTCAGCGTCGACGCGATGGTGAGTTCCGACGCGTCGTCGACGAAGGACGCGGCGAAGCGCAGGTCCAGGGGCGGCGCGGCGGTCGGCGCGGGCGCGGGCGCGGACGGCGGCGGCGCCTCGGGCGCGGGCGCGGGCGCGGCGCCGTCCTCGACGACGGCGCGGCTCGGCGGCCGCGACCGCTTGGGCCCCGCGTAGGCGACGATGACGTTGTTGCCGTGGCGGTCGCGGTGGTCGCCGAGCGCCGCGGACCGCGCGGGCGACGCCGCGGACCGCCCCGGGGAGGACGCGCCGCCGCCGTCGCCGTCGCCGCGGGCCCGCCGCCGGGGCGTCGGCGCCGCGGAGCGGCCGTCCCAGGCCGACGCGTCGTCCCAGAGGTGGTGGCCGTCGGGCGCGGGCGCCTCGAGGGCCTCGCTCCGCGACCCGCGGGCGTCGGAGCCGCGGTACTCGTCGACGGACATGCGGCCCGGCTCGGGCGGCACCGGCGGCCCCGCGCGCGCGGTGCGGCCGTGGACGGCCGTGACGCCCGGCGCGAGGGTCATGCGCGGCACGGGGTTGTCGTCCTCGGCCGCGTCCTCGACGAAGCCCGGCGCCCGGGGCGCGCGGCGCCGCCGCCGCGCGTCCGCGGGCGCGGACGCGCGGCGGCCCGCGGCGACCGCGGGCGTCGCCGCCCGGCCGCCTCGGACGGCGTAGCCGCGGGGCGCCGCGCGGCCGTCGCCGTCGTCGACGAGGAGCACGGCGTCGCCGTTCGCGTCGAAGACGTGCCTCTTGCCCCGGAGCTCCTTGCACTGCTTCTTGAACTTGGCCTCGTCGTCGGCCTTCTCCGCCGCGCGGACGATGAAGTTGATCTGCGCCGCGACGTGCATCCCCTCCGCGCGCGCGATCTCGCCGAGGAGCGTCGCGAACTCCAGGCTCGGCTTCGCGTGCTCCGCGTCGAGCTCGTCCTCGCCGCCGCACTGGACGATGAACGGCTCGAGGATCGTCGACGTCCGCTTCATCGTGAGGCGCTTGCCCTGGTACATGGACGATCGCATGGACCCGCGGCTCGAGCCGCCGCGGTAGAGCGACCCCCGGCTCGACGCGCGGAACGATCCTCGGAAGCTGCCCCGGAAGCTGGACTCGCGCGACACGGCCGACGTCCTCGCGCTCGCGTCGTCGTCGGGCAGCGGCGGCGGCGCGCGCACGGACACGTGGCTCGTCGCGTGGCTGTCGATATCGCTCGGCGCGGGCTCGGCCTCCGCGAACCAGCCCGAGCCCGCTGAGGCGCCGACGAGGGCGCAGATTGCGCCGCCGCCGCCGAAGACGTAGCGCCGCCCGCCGCCGCCGTAGGGGTCGTCGCAGCCCAGGTTCCCGAGGTTCGCCACGGCCCACGCGTCGTCGAGGCACGCCCGCGCGGAGAAGCGAAACAGGCGCACCTCCGCAGGTCCCTCCAAGGAAACGAACGTCGCCTCGATGAGCGCGTCGACGGCGTCGATGGCGCAGTCCTCCGCCGCGAACATGGGCGTACCTCGACGGCGCAGCCCGTGTGCCCTCGTTGCTGCCGCCGGGACTGCCGCGGGCGGGGCTGCCTAGAGCCCTAACATCGTCGCTCTCGACTATCCAGCAGTTTCGGACTATGATTTATTTGCTTCAAGACCGGCCTCTCCAAGTTCCTTACCCCAGGTAGAGCCCGAGTCGCGCGAGGACGGCGGCGCTGCAGCTCTCGCGGAGGACGAGGACGCGGCTGTTTCGCTGGAAGCTGCCCTCGGGCTCGGCGTCGAGGAAGGCGGCGAGGTGCTGGAGCGCGAGCGCGACGACGGGGCTGCCCGCGGGCGGGTCGTGCTTGAGGGCCAACAGCACGTCGTCGACGAGGAGCGCCGCGTCCTCGGGCGCGCAGGCGCAGGTCGCGACGTCGGCGCCGCGGACGTGGTGCGCGTTGCCCGACGCGCCCGTCTCGCGCCAGACGGCGCCGCGGACGGCGGGGGGCACCGCGGGCCGCAAGAGCGCGCCGAGCGCCGCGCGCGCGGGCCGCGTCGCGTCGGGGAACTCGGCCCCGGCGACGCGCGCGAGGTGCTCGACGAAGAAGCCCAGCGCCGCGTCGCGCTTGTCGCCGTCGCCGCCGGGGCGGCCGCCGAGCGGGTCGCCGCGGCGGCCTAGAGCGACGAAGGCCGCGAGCGCGCGGACGTCGCCGCCGTCCAGCGCCGCCGCGTCGGCGAGTATGGCGGCCTCGACGGCGTTCGCGACGGCGTCGCCGGCGAGGGGCCGCGCGGCGCAGCGGAGCCGGTGCGCGAGGCGCGCGCCGCGCGGGAGCGCGGCGGCGTACGCGGGCCCGAGCGCGGCCTCGACGTCGAGCGCCGCGGCGACGGCGGCCTCGCCGTCGCCGTCGCCGACGGCGAGGATCCAGGCGGGCGGGAACCCGGCCTCGCCGCGGCCCAGGGCCTCGAGGGCCTTGGCCTTGGCGCGACGCCAGTGCGGCCGCCCGCCCAAGGCGGCGTCGAGGGCCTCGAGGAGCCGCGGCGCGACGGCCGGCGGCGGCGCCGACGCGAGGGCGAGGGCGCAGGCCGCGGGGCCGTCGGCGGACCCGAGGGCGACGCGCAGGAGCGCGACGTCCGCCGCGCACGCGCCCGCGTCGCCGCCGGGCGCGGGCGCGCCGCCGCCGTAGAACGCGTCGACGGCGGCGTCCGCGGCGCGGGCGAAGGCGGCTGTCGCCGCGGCCTCGAGCGTGGCCAACAGCCCGCCGGCCGCGAGGGCGCGGAGCGCGCGCCGCGGCGCGCGGTCCGCGACGCGCCGCGCGAGCCGCGCGGCCGACGCGAGCGCGCGCGCGTCGCTCGCGGCGACGCGGCCGCCGAGCGCCTCGAGGGCCGCGAGGCCCGCCGTCGCGTCGGACAGCGCCTCGACGCGCACGAGGGCCGCCGACGCGGCGACGGCGGGGCCGCCGGCCGCGCCGAGGATCCGCGCGGCGGCCGCGTCCGCGGCGCCGCCGCGCCGCGCGTCGACGCACCGCGCGGCCAGGCCCGCGACGAGCGCCGCGGCCGCGGCCTCGTCGGCGGCGCAGCGCCGCGCGAGCGCGACGACGGGCCAGTCGGCGCCGGAGGCGTCGGCCGCGAGGACCGCGCGCGCGAGGTCCGCGGCGGCGGCGACCGAGACGCCGCCGTCGGCCGCGGCGCCGCGGCAGAGCGCCGCGCGGACGCCCGGGAGCGCCGCGGGCGCCGCGGCCCCGGCGTCGAGCGCCGCGGCGAGCGCGCCGCAGGCCGCGTCGGCGACGCCCGGCGCCGCGCCGCGGTCGAGCGCCGCGCGGGCCGGCGCGCGCGCCGCGGCGCGCCGCGAGGGCCGCGAGGGCGCGCGCCGCGTCGCGCGCGTTGTCCGCCGCGTACTTGTCGCGGCTGTCGAGGCCCCGGGGCAGCGCCTCGAGGAGCCGCGCGGGCGCGTCGGCGAAGCCCCACGCCTCGTCGAGGACGCACTCGCGGACGAGCGCGTGGAAGGCCGCGCGGCGCTGGTTCGCGCTCAGGACCTTGGCGCCGTCCTCGAAGGCGGCGCTCAGCCGCTCGGCGTCCGCGCCCGGCGCGCGCTCGGGCTCGTCGTCGCCGGCCGCCCAGTCGAGCTTGACGCGCTCGCACCGCGGCAGGCCGTCGACCGCGGCCGCGAGCTCCGCGGCCGTCGACGGCGCGCCTCGTCGTTCGGGCGGCGCGCGGGTCGGTGCGGTGTCGGAGGGGGCCGTCGTATCCGGGGGCGCGAGCTTGGCGGCGCCGCGGTCGCGCAGGAACGCGACGGACGAGGCCGAGAACGTCGACCTGACCTCCTCGAGGGCCGCCGCGACCTGGGCCGGCGTCATCGCGCCGACGGTCCGCGCCGTCTCGTCGAGCGGCGCCGCGGGCACGGCGTTTGCCGCCGCCGCTGTTGGCGGTGGCGGTCGGCGAGGAGGGAGCGGGCCCCGCTTCATTGCTTGCGGGAAGCCGGTCGGCGGGCCGCTCGGCGCCTTGGAAGCTTTCGTGCCAGTGCGTTCGCGCACGCTCGAGACCACGCTCATGGCTCGCCTGCAGTCCGCTCGGGACGACGATCGATTGCCACTGGCGGTCGCCGCTTTACCGCGGGCGCATCGTTCGCCAGGCCTTTGCCAGTCGAGTCAGCCGCGCCGCCGCCGCCCGGCGCTCGTCGCAGCGGCGCAACCCGCGCGCTGCCGTCGCCGCAAACGCGAGCACTCGTCCTTTCGACGCGCCGCGCAGCCGCAGGCGCCGCCCTTGCGCCGCCCACCATGATCCTGCTCGTCTTCGTGGCCCGCGTGGCCGACAGCCTGCTGCTCGTGGCGTCGACGGACCAGATGCGGAGCAGCGACTCGCAGGACACGATGGACGTCTACAAGTCGCAGGCGCGGCAGATCCTGCGGAAGCTCGACGCGCGGTCGCCGGCGCGGTGCTCGATCGAGTCGGGCCCGTACACGTTCCACTACGTCATCTCCGAGTGCTGCTGCTACCTCGCGATGACGCACCGGAGCTACCCGAAGCGCCTCATCTTCCAGTACCTCGAGGAGATCGCGCGCGACTTCGCCGAGGAGGTCGCGCGCGACTGCGGCGGCGACTGGCGCTCCGCCGTCGAGACCGTCGGCCGGCCGTACGCGTTCATCACTGCGTGGAAACCAAATCTGCAACCCGACTTCAATGTGCGCGTATGCGACCGTTTCGACGCAAGCTCCTCCGCCGTGCTTCGAGAACTCGAGAGGAGCAGTCGATTCGTCCAAAAACCAGCCAAATTGACTTCGATTTGACCGAGCTAGAGAGGTTTGAAGCTTGGTCAGGACCACCCAAACCAGTGGTTGGTTTCCACACAGGTTCATCAAGTTCGACAAGACGCTCCAGCGCAAGCGCAAGGCCTACGCGAACCCGGGCGACCGCGCGAACCAGTCGAAGATCGACAGCGAGATCGCCGACATCCACAACATCATGAAGCGCAACATCGACGAGGTCCTCAACCGCGGCGAGCGCCTCGACCACCTCGTCGAGTCCACGTCCACCCTCAAGCACGAGGCCGCCAAGTACAAGTGGGGCGCGAAGAAGTTCCACGCCATGGCCGTCTGGCAGCAGTACGCGCCCTTCGTCGCCGTCGGCGCCTGCTGCCTCTTCGTCGCCTGGCTCAAGCTCCGATAGGCGGCGCCGCGCGCTCGAGGAACTAGGGTGCGGGCCTCGTTTTGTTTTTTAGGGGCGGGGGCAGGCAGGCGCGCCTGGGATGGGTCGCCTGAGGCGCTTGGAAGTGGTGTTCTTTAGGAAGTTCTTTAGGTGTTAGAACGGGCGCTATGCTCGCGCGTCTGCTAACTTAGTTGAACGATGCTTTCGTCGCCGCAAACCGCTCTTCGACGGGACAAGAGGGGTCCTTCGAACGAAGGTCGAGATGAAGTTGAGCACGCTGTCCGAGCCGCCCGACTTGGCCTCCTCGAGGCCCTCGGCGACGGCGGGCAGGCCGCCGAACGACACGGACCGCGGGGCCGGCGGCGGCGCAGGTGTCGGCGCCTCGTCGCCGCCGCCCCCAACGATGATGCAGTCCATGTTCGAGGACTGGGCTGCCCCAACTTCAAATTAACAAAAAATTTGGGCGCAATGGCGCGGCGGCCCCTGTTCCTGGCGGCCCTCCTCGTTGTTCCGGCGCGGAGCGCCTATTGCTGCTTCTGGCCGGAGACGGCGGACCGCTGCGACGCCTGCGAGTCGCAGGCCGACACGACGAACTTCTGCGGCGGCGGCGCGTCGGCCTGCGAGACGGACTGCGGCCACGTCTGGTGCGACGTCACGGACGCGCCGAGCGCGACGGCCGCGCCGACCTTCGCCGGGGGCGACTGGCACCAGGGCACCTACACGACGGGCTACTGGGACTGCTGCAAGCCGTCGTGCTCCTGGAGCGGCAAGGGCGACGTCGACGCGCCCGTGCTCTCGTGCGAGGCCGAGACGGGCGCGGCGCTCTCGTCGCCGGACGTCACCTCCGTCTGCGACGGGGGCACGGCGGCGTCCTGCGCGAGCAACCAGCCCTGGACCTACAACGACGGCGTGTCGCTGGGCTTCGCGGCCGCGGCCGTCGGCGGCATCACGGGCCTCGACGGCGACACCAACTGCGGCCAGTGCTACGAGCTCGTCTGGACGGACGACACCCACAGCTGGGGCGGCGGCGCGCACGCGTCGCTCGTCGGCCGGTCGCACGTCATCCAGGTCACGAACATCGGCTACGACGTCACCGGCGACCACAGCTTCGACCTCCAGATCCCGGGCGCGGGCCAGGGCATCTTCGACACGGGCTGCGCGATCCAGTTCCCGGGCTACGACAGCGGCGACTTCGACTGCGACAACAACTACGGCGGCTGCGCCGACAACTCGGGCTGCGACCGCCTGCCCGACGACCTGCGGTCCGGCTGCGACTGGCGCTACGACGACTACCTCTACAACGAGGGCGGCACGTCGAACAACCCCTACGTGCGCTTCCGCCGCGTGCGCTGCCCCGCGGAGCTCGTGGCCATCACGGGGAGCACGCCCAACGACGACGACGACTACCCGGCGCTAAACCTCGACGCCTACGCGAGCGACTACACGCAACCGCCGACGACGGCGGCGCCGACGACGCTGACGCCGCGGCCGACGGCCGCGCCGACGACGGCGGCGCCCTCGACGGCGGCGCCGAGTGCGGCGCCCGTCGCCAGCACCGCGGCGCCCGTCGCGCCGTCGCCCGCGCCGTCACCCGCGCCGACGCCCGCGCCGACGACGGCGGAGCCGACGGCCGCGCCGACGACCGCGGAGCCGACGACGGCCGCGCCGACGGCCGCGGAGCCGACGACCGCGACGCCGACGCCGGCGCCGACGACGCCGGCGCCGAGCACGGCGGTACCGAGCGCCGCGCCGACGGCGTCGCCCGCGCCGACGGCGGCCCCAGCGTCGTCGGGCGGCTCGAAGAAGAAGCAAAACCCCGTGACGCGGCGCGTCCGCGCCGGCGGCGTCGTCCTCTTCGCCGCCGCCGCGGCCGTCACGTTCGTCGTCGGCTTCGCCGTCGCCGCGTGCGTCTTCCGGCGCCGCACGTCCAAGTGGCAGACGACGGAGCTCGACCACACCCACTCCTGGGGCTTCTCGCCGCCGAACGAGGCCAAGGCCGTCGGCCCCGGCGGCGACTGGCAGCGCACGTCGAGCTTCAACGGCCGGTCGAGCTTCACCGGGCCGACGAACTTCGACCTCTAGGGGAATTCGCAGATCGCCGCCGCCACAGGCGGCGAGCTAAATTGAACTCAGCATATGCGCACGTATATGCGCCCGGCGCCGGGCTAGCTCAGTCGAGCTGCAACTTTGACCCGTCTTTGAAGTTGACGACGCCCTCAACGATCATCTCCGATGTCGACGTCGAGCCCGACCGCGAGGTGCCCAGCTACGACGATGCCTGCGCGTCTCGCCCTCCTCGCATCTCTCCCGGCGGCCCTCGCGCTGCGGCCGCCGCTTCGCGCGGCGCCGCCGCGCGCGCCCCCGGCGTTGCGGGCCGGCGCCGCCGAGCTCCTCGCCGAGGGCAACGCCTGCTACGTGAACGGCGACCTCGACGGCGCCGGGGACTCCTACGGCGCCTGCGTCGACAGCGGCGAGTGGCCCGTGGTCTGCGACTGCGCGGCGAACCTCGGGAGCGTCGCCCTGGACCGCGACGACCCGGAGGAGGCCGAGCGGCTCTACCGCTTCGCGGTCGACGCGGCCGCGGCGCCGCCGGCGGGCGCGCTCGACGGCGCGGGCTTCTTCCACGCGGACGCGGCGCAGAATCTGGCGAGCCTGCTCCAGGGCCGGGGCGGCCAGGACCGCACGCGCGAGGCCGCGCACCTCTACCGCGACGTCGTCCGCGCGGACGCGTCGCGCTGGGACGCGTGGGCGAACCTCGGCGCGGCGCTCGTCGACACGGGCGCGCCGAAGCTCGACGCGGTCAAGTGCTTCCAGCGCGGCATCCGCGCCGCCGAGGCCGTGGAGCGCGACGAGGCGTCGCCGCCCCAGCTCGTCGAGGGGATCCGCGGGTCGCTCGCGGACATGTACTTTGGCCTCGGCACCGCGCTCGCGGACCTGGACGATCTGGACCGCGCGGCCGCCTACGACGACGGCGAGATCCTGCTGACGGCCTACGACGAGCGCGTCGACCTCTACGACGGCACCCAGGCCGACGCGGACGCGGCCATCGCGGAGACGGCCGCGAACGCGCTCCGCGCGGCCGTCGACCTGAGGGGCGGCGACTTCCCGCTCGCGGCGCACGCGCTCGACGCGCTCGCGGCGCGCGACGACGCTTTGGCGGCCCCGGGCCGCGCGTCGCCGGCCTTCGTGCGGGCGCTCTTCGACGACTTCGCGCCGACGTTCGACGCGCAATTGGTCGACACGCTCCGGTACCGCGCGCCGGAGATGGTCGCGGCGGCCGCGGGCGACCGCGTCATGGGCGCGCGGAACGGCACGCCCTACGGCGCGACGCTCGACGCGGGCTGCGGCACGGGGCTGCTGGGACCGCCGCTCCGGGAATTCGTCGACGGGCCGTTGGTCGGCGCGGACCTGTCGGGCAACATGGTCGAGCTCGCGCGCGACGTCGCGATCAACGGCACGCCCGTCTACGACGCGCTCGCCGTCGGCGACCTTACCGATATGGGCCTCTACGCGAACCTGTCGGCGGGGCCCTACGACCTCGTCGCGGCCGCGGACGTCCTCGTCTACTTCGGCGTCCTCGACGAGGTCCTCGCGATCTGGGCCGACCACCTCGCGCCGGGCGGCGACGTCATCTTCACCTGCGAGCGCATGCTCGGCGACGGCGGCGACTGGGTCCTCGGCCCCAGCGGCCGCTACGCGCACCGGCCCGAGTACGTCGAGGCCGCGGCCGCGGCCGCGGGCCTCGCGCTCGTCTCCGCGACGGACGTCGTCCCCCGCGTCGAGAACGGCGAGGACGTCCCGGGGACGCTCTACGTCCTCACGACCGCGCTCTAGGTCGTAAGCGCGGCGGTGAGCAAAGGTGGTTAGCGCCTAGGTGATCAGAGTCCCCGCGGGCGGCGGCGCCGGCCGCGGCGCCGGCGGCGCCGGCGGGGCCGCGGGAAGCGCCTCGGCGACCAGCGTCGGCGGGGCCGCGGGCGGGGCCGTCGGCGGCGGCTTCGGCTTCGGCTTCGGCGCCGTGGGCCGGAGCACGGAGGGCATGTCCTCGAGGGCCTCGCGGACGTCGAGCGCGAGCGTGTCGCTGACGATCTGGAGCTGGAGCGGCCGCGAGAACGGGTTCTCGATGAGCGTGCCGATCTCCGCGAGGCCGAAGAGCGCCCAGCAGACGAGGAACGTCGCCGGCACCGTGAGGAAGCCCAGCGAGTCGACGAGAGCGAAGGGGAGCGCGAAGGACCAGAGCGTGAGGAACCGGCTCGTGTGGCGCGCGTAGTGCAGGGGCACGGGCGTCTGGGCGATGCGCTCCGCGGCGCCGACGCAGCCCCGCAACGCGTTGACCTTGGAGATGATCGCGAGGCGGTCGCGGCTGCTGAAGCGGCCGGCGTCGTCGTAGGGCACGGCCTTGACCTCCGCGGCCATGCGCCGCGCGATGCCGAGCGGCGCGCAGCGCGACGCCGCGAGCGCGGCGACGGCGCCCTTGGTCAGCAGGCGCCGCAGCGCGAGCGGGTTGTAGTAGGCCTCGAGCTCGCGGAGCGTCACGGCCAGGCCCTTGGGGCGCGACACGCCGAACTTGAGCGCGTGGAGCTGGCTCAGCGCGACGTCGGCGTCGACGTCGCTCGGCAGCGAGAAGATGTTCGCGAGCCGCTCGTCCTTGCGGCACTGGTCCTGGAACGTGGGCAGCGGCAGCTCCGCCGCGTCGGGCTCGTAGCCCGCGCGGCGGCAGAGCGCCGCGAAGACGCGCGCCAGATCCTTCTTCGGGTCCGACCGCAGGGGCTGGCCCTGGAGGTGGAGCTGGAGCGCGAGCGGAAACGCGCAGAGCAGGTCCGCGACGCGCCGGATCCGCGGGCCGCCCATCTCCTCCTTGTAGAGCGCCACGTAGTCCGCCGCGTCGCGCGTCGACGACACGAGCTTCTCCCACACGCCCCGGCCCTCCCAGTAGCGCTGGTAGGCCGTGTTCGTGCGGAAGACGAGGAGCAGACTCAGCGCGGACCCCAGGAGCGACATCGCGGAGCCGACGCCCGCGGTGG